CTTTTTAATATACAACGCTTTTATAAATGGACTAAAAAGTAGAAAATAATATTTCTCAGTCCCATAGAATTTGTTTTGATAACTTTTGATTTAGAAATTTTAGCAAAAGTCGTTATAAACAACTTATGAGATTGAAAATGAAAAGCGTGAGGCGCATATAATAGCCACCTGAATTGATATGAAGGGTAATATATGTTCATATGTATGTGGATATATGAATAACGACCGCTTAAAATCGATCTCAAATTTATACTTTCGCTGAAGAAATTTTAGGTCTATGTTATGTAGTTTTTTTTTTATATTATTTATTAATGCTCACATTAAGGTAATTAGCTTAACATTACTTTATTTGCCATCGGCGAATACCAACAGTTGGTGGTTATTCGACATTACTCTCTGCTCAGAGTTGCGAGAAACAGGATAAATAAAATATTAAAAGAAATATATATATTATTTTTTGCTTACCGGTCTTGAATGTTGCCATTAACTTGGCAGAGTCCCCTCCATGATGGCAGGCAAAGAGAGATTGGTCTAGAAGGTCTTCGGCTTTGTAGCCGAAAACATTTTGCATTCTGAAAATCATAATTTTGTTAAATTTCTGACTTTTCAATTGCAAAAATGTATATTGTATTTATGTATGCTTGTATGTTAATTTACTTCTCATCCACATATGTAAATTTCATATCCAACGAATGTTTTGTCAAGAACGTTGTGCTACCCAGTGGAATTTCGATGTTGGATGGATGTGGTATTGGTCTGCCGATAGCGACCAGCACACGATCACCACTTGCGTTGACCACCAGGTGGCCAGTAATGTGAATAACCTTAAACAGTAAGAAGGTAAAGAAATATTTGATTATTTACCTTGTCTAAATGGTATGATACGGCAATAAAGTCTTACCTTGTAAGAAGCACTTTTTATGTTAATGCTGCGTCCACGACTGGTTAATGTACATTTAAAGCGCACGAAAAGGTCGCGATGGTCTGTAGATAGTCCTTCTTCAATCATATTCTCATCTTTAATTTTGTCAGTACGACCACTGCGCTTTTTGTTGAGTGCGTCTTTGAGTTCGGCATGATCACATTGGTGGCTGTATTCCCAGATTTGTTGGCCGAGTAGATCAATCTTAAAAATTTCAAGAAACAATTTCAAAAAAGTCATATCATCTCATTTTTTCAATAACCGTTACCTTTGCTAAGCCCAAATAATCAGTGATGTTGTCCGAAACATAGGTAATGTCGCCATCATTTGAGAGCACAAGCAGGAAGCCGTCTAAGGTCTGTTTAATGAACTGGCTTGTCTCGGCGTATTTGAGAAAATCGAACTTTTCATTAGCTTGTTTCGCTGAAGAGTCAGAAATTTGACTGCCACTATTGGAGTTTTCATCAATATCATCGTCTGATTTCAATTCACCAATAATATCTTGGATTTTCGGGACTACAAATAAATAATAAAGTTACTATTGGAGTAGATGACCACATTTATTAGGCGGATGCTATTAATTCTAGCATCTAATATGTAAAAAAATTAATTTTTTAACCGCATATCGATGATCCGCAACAATAACGACACAACTCAAAATTGCATTTATTTAAATTATATAGCGGATTGGGTGGATAAGTAACCAATTTTTCTGCAGAACATCCACATATGTTTACTTGTTTCCAATCCGACAGGGTCGCAATTGTGTCATAGGTCAAAAAATCGTTATTGCAGTGGACCAGCGATATATACATACATAGATAGAACTATTAGGGGTATTCACGGTCCGGTGTATACTGTCTAGCACAAGGATGATAAATGAGTTTTTAATTTTGTACCAAATGGACAAAAAGAATGTACTAAATCAGCCGAAAGAGTACCAAAATTTAAAAGACCGGACATACATATGCATATGCATATCACTTTTAAACTCATTTATCAGATAAGCCAATGTTGGAGGTTTTTTCCGCCTTCTTCATAATATTAACGTGACGTTTTTCTTGGGAGGCAGGCTTTTTGTTTAATCTTTCTTCCGCAACAACTTCCCATATATGTACGGTGACCATCCCGTCTGTTTTTTGCAGGATCGTACTGTTATTTAAAGGTCTGTCCTGCGTGGTTTTTCAAAACAGAAAACCCCCAAAATGTACTGATTTTTTCCAAGTTTCCTGCCTTTGTCCCGCATTTTCTTCGATATTTTAAAATTAACTTTTCCTAATCGAAATAAAATCAGCGTCGATACTAATTGATAACTAAATAAGGGTAAGCTGGTTCAACCAGTCAATGCGTTCTAAATTTTGTACGGTTATGGGCAATGGATGATGAGAAAATGAAGACCAGCATCATATATATCAATAACACTGTTCTAAACAAAAAAAATGTTTTCCAAGCCAATTTTCTTTTCAAAGAAGCGTTTTCGTAATTTTTTCTTCGAAAAACGTGTTTTTGGTACATTTCGTAGCTATTTGTCAATATCTCATGAAAAAAAATATCCAATCAACATAAGCGACCTACAGTCCTCTTACAAAAATATATTACTTTGCCGATTTTGATGAAAACGATTAGTGTTACAAGCGACCAAAATCGAAAAAAATTAAATTTCAATCATTTACTTTTTACAGTAAATGAAAATCTGATGAGAAATGTAGATGTTACGGAACACAATCTGCACAAATTATATACTTTTGCAAATGGCCCATCAATACCTTTCGAGCTGTAGGTCGTTTCATGTGATATTGACGATTAACTGAAAAAAGTACTAAAAATACGTTTTTCGAACAAATCTCGAAAACACTTCTTTGAAACCATGGGTATTATTTTCGTGTTCAACGACCCAAAGTTTGCCTATAAAATTTGCTCTACAGAGGTTCATAATTCGTGTAAAGTAATATGTTATATGCCTTATTATAATTTTGTAAATATTCATTACAAAAAGATTAATACCAATGAAGCAAATGTGATTTATGTTTAAAGTTTAAAATTACATTAATAATTAAGAAATATACGCTCGTTGTTATTTGAAAGCGCACTCTTTTAATACTTACTAGTTACAGTTTTCCTTTTGTTTGTTAAATATTAATTAATTTTTTATAAAAAAAAAATATAGCATATTCTACGTCTAAATCTGATTTTAAAAATTATGGAAAAAGAAACAAAAAAAAATCAACATAGGGGCGGCAATTTTTTTTTGTTGACGGTGCTGCGCCATTTCTTCCATGTAAATGATTTTGACAAGCATACTTAGTAAGGAAGAAAATCAAAAAACGGTTGCGCTAGTCAAATGACAAGGAACGTATATGTATGTAGTATATTTTTGTTATTTTTATACTACGCAGTTATATGTAGGTACATTTTTTTAATAATTGTCCTGCATTTTCAAAATATATTTTTGGTCACCGTACATATATGCCATTTGAACACTTTTGGAGAAACAAGCAATTTAAATAAAAAATCCTTTTCCACCTAAAAGTGACCTTCTGGAAATATTTCACATTGTCTGTTTTTTTTCTAAGAGTTTAATTTCACGAAAATATAAAATCAAGAAAATCATTGAAACCCCTGAAGCAATAAATAGGCATTGGTAATTACCTTATTTTTTTGTATAAACAAGTAATTTTTAGCAAAAAAAACCGACTTAAAAAAAATATATANATATAAAATCAAGAAAATCATTGAAACCCCTGAAGCAATAAATAGGCATTGGTAATTACCTTATTTTTTTGTATAAATAAGTAATTTTTAGCAAAAAAAAACGACTTAAAAAAAATATATATATATCTATATATTTCATGATCCAATGATCGGATCTAAACCAAATTAGTATGGGACCACCTCTGAGACACTACCTTTCCGTTGCAAAAAGAATTATTGAATCGGTTGATGTGGTGCAAAGTTATGCGGTAACATACATAAAAAAATAAAAATAAAATAAAAATATTCCGACGAACTGATAACCTCCTCCTTTTTTGGAAGTCGGTTAAAAACTGGGTGGCTTTCGGATATACTTATTAAGCCTTACTCGTTAATATTAAATACCTACCTATGAGAAGCTATTTTTTTGCTTACTTCTCTTTTATTTATTGAATCTGTCCTGCTCAAGAGCCTAAAGAAGCTAGAGCTTCGAAGAAAATCGCCTGTGTAAATTGTGTTTTTTTTATTCTAGAAAGCGATAAAATCGCTTACAACTTTTCAAGCGATGTTGAATCGCTTATGAAATCGCCTCATGTAAATGGTCTTGAACAATAAGTTTGCATATCTTATACTATTCACTTAGCTTCCACCTCATAGTAGGGTTGAGTAACTGGCCCTTAAAAATATTATAACTGGGCTGGCAAGTCATTCCTACGTAATCTTGAGTTCCTCTTTACAAACAATAGACACCGGGCGACAGCAATTATTAAAAATCTTCTAAATCTTGAGTCAAATTTGAAATATATGGCAAATTTCTGAGTGTATTTCTGCCTTGAATAGGCTTCTAATAAAAACCACTTGCCCTTCGGAGGCGCATTAAATTGTAGGTCCCTCCATTTGTTTTATAACATCATGATGCGCCAAAATACAATTATTATTATTATTATTATTATTAGGCTGAAGATGATCTTATTTCACTATACAATTTTTAACGTTAGTGAAAATTTTGTATATTTCATCATCACTATTGTATATGAGTCGATACGTAACAAAACTGCCTAAGTCCACCATAAGACAATTAATAGAACTCCACTTTTGTATTAAAAATCTAAACACTAAAAGCAACCCTGTCATTTTCGAAAAATGCCATTAAACATGGTTTAATGAGAAGCAGTGTTGACAACTCGTGGGATTTCGCCTACAATTTGGGATTTTCGCACCATAAAGGGCGCGTGATATCTATTGATTTCTAGCTATGTAAATACAATTTTGTGGTTTAATTGTTTTTTTTTTTTGCTGTTCAATCATTGTTACATCTCTTTATTCAAACATATGTATATGGGGCATTCCAACTATAAGTATTTTCTGTTTAACCCGTAATTTGGCATGTTTCAAACCGTTAACATCTCAACTTAGATATCAGTTTAACGCGAAACTAATAAAGTAGAAAGCCTAATTATATAATTACACAGAGATTTTTCATTTTCCAAAGAGTGACGGGTGATTCGTTTCCAAATTTTAGGCTAACTATGTATATAAAAATATTTCGTGCATAGCGGCTTTCTCGAATGTAGTTAATAGACTATTAATAGAATATTTGAAAAAAAAAAATCTTGTAACAGGTGGGACAGTATTTCGTGAACACTACTGATTCGATATGAATATTTATTAAAAGGTCCTGATTTAAGCAATGGGAAGCTAACTTATTTGTGTGTTAAAAAACATATTTTTCTGTGACGGCTGATGACTTTATGTATAAATGTAGTTTTGTATTAACGAACCACTCTTCTAAAGTCCATGAATTCTCTTTTTTGATAATTTTGCATTGTCACCTTCAATACACAGAAAGGCGGTGTTAACTTGATAAAAAAAAAAGTACTGTATCAGAGATAGTCGCATTACGGCCATGTGCAACGGAAGAAAAATGAAAACCGTAGAACTGAAACTGTTATTAAAATTTTTTTTAATATTTAATATTTATAAATGGGATTTTCGAATTTTATAAGGGGAAAAGCAGGAGGTTTTTCAGAGGAGAATGGGATTTTCGGACCTTTGGAGTTGGCAACACTGATGAGGAGAAGTGGCAACTTTGCTTTTTCGAGTATACAGTTCCTAACTGCGTTTCAGTGATCGGCGATCGAGATTTCATTTATTATTTTACATTATTGAGATAGAAAAAGTCACGCAAATCCAACCTCGATGTGATGCTGGATCGAGGATCTAATTTTCATAGTTGTTGACAAACTTTGCGAATATGTTAGAAATTTAGCAGCGGGGGTCCACCGATACCATTAGAGTTCTGAAAGGGGGCTACGAGAAAAAAAGTTTGGGAATCTCTGGTTTAGGGTGTTGAGTATTTTTTTTAGCACCGTGTAATTAGTTTATGCAATTTTAATTGACAGCACCGAAAAATTAATATATACACAAACAAATTTTCAGTTATGGTTCTGTTTTAACCAGTTAAAATTTTTGTATACATTTTTCGTTTAAAATTTGTTTCAATTTTCGTATGTTTTTTTAGCATGTTTTCCTCTCCGTACGCAGATTTCAAACTCGCATGCATGTACATTTGTCAAATGCGATAGCATGAACGCTTTTCTAAAGTGCTAAATGTTGATTTTTCAATTCAGAAAACGGTGCATAATTTTATCGGCTTTAAGCCTCAGTTAGTGTAGACTTAATTTACATAAGAAATCGTCAATGGTTACTCAACACGTCAACTTAGCCAGAAGCGAAAATATTGGGTTTTTAACCGACTTCCAAAACAGGAGGAGGTTATCAGTCCGTCGGAATATTTTTTTCTTTATTTTTTTTTTTTATTATTGTTTTTTTTTTGGATGTTACCGCATAACTTTGGACCACGTCAACCGATTTCGGTTTGCATCGGAAAGGTAGTGTCTAAGAGGTGGTCCCATACTAATCTGGTTAAGATCCGATCAGTGGATCATCAGATATATATATATATATATTTTTTTTTTTATATGAGAGTTGAAGTCGGTTTTTTTTTGCTAAAAATTACTTGTTGTATTTTCCTTTTCAGCTTATTGTCACTTCCCCGCCTATAGGCTACATCAAAAAGTTCCTACACGAAAATATATTGCGTTGGGCAATATAATAGCTTACGTTACGTAAATTAAGTCTAGGCTTACTGAGCCCTTGGTTTGAACTTTTTATTTGTTCGATCAGCGTGTATTCTACAAACAATATGGAAATATTTCGTCTGTGAACTCGCAGTTTTGATATGTACCGACTCATGTGATATATTGCAATTCACCAATAAACATCAAGAGTGTTAAAGAAAACTTTTACACTATCACTAGCTATTAGCAAGGTCACTTGTGTGTCTGTATATCTAGACACCAAACAATTTATCAACAACAACAAATCAGCTACTTCCTTAATGCAGCGCAAATTTTTTATGCGCATTTGTGTGCTAGTCAATCTGCATAAGCATGCCCGTCTGTCTCGCTTTTTAAGCAACTAATATTACTAATAATGATTTTAATGTATGAAGCTAAGTACGGTTTGCTTAAGAAAACGGCGAAGAAAGAATTACCATTATTTCATGGGCGTGAATAGTTTCCTGGAATTTTGACATCTGCCTTACTCTTTCTTCACGAATTAATAGAACAGGCATATATATATATATGGGCTGTTTTGTGCTTTTTGTTCACAAAAGGCTATAGTCGTAGAAAGCTAACCGCATTATTTTTAATAATAGTAAAAAAGTCGCAACTACATCCTGTCACGTCAGTGGATATCAAAACGTCGTTTTCCGTCAGCTCAATGCTCTTAAACGGATCTTGATTATTTGAGAAAATCTACTACTACTACTTGATTGTGCATTGTAATTTTTCAATCCCTTAATAAACTGAAGTAATAAAAAAATATAAAACCAGTAATTTTTAATCAAAATACAAAACCGACTTCAATGTTTATATACAAAGTTAAGAGTACTGTTAAACTCGGATTTTGGTCGGGTCAAAACCAAATTAGTTTGGGACCACCTCTGAGGTAACACCTTTCCTTAAAAAAAAAAGAATTCTAGAAATCAGTTAACGTATTGAATTGATAACCTCCTCTTTGAAGTCGGTTAAAAATTTTACAATTAAATAAATTTTAAAAATGTTACAAAAATATCCCAAAAGGAAATAATTTCTTCCCAAAAACTTTAGCAGTTCTTTCTCTACATATAAAGTATAACATTTTTGCATTCATTCAAACAAAGTATCTGCCAGTTATCTTCAGTGCTACTCGAGCAGTAGATATATATTAACAACAAAAAAATCTTATTTGATTATTAGATTGGCAATTTTTCACAAAATAAGAGAAACCCAAATTAGGTGGTAAAAGAGTAAAGAAGGGGGTGACCACTTTTATAAAAAAACTTTATTTTCGTTTTAAACTTCAGTACGTACGTTATAAAAAATGTGTCGTTGCGAAGTGCACAGGTGCTTTTTCGTAATTAAGAAGAAAGAAAACATTTATTTTATGTTCCGTCTGATGGTAATTGAACCCGGACCCTCTTGGCAGCAAGCAATTGATCAAGCGCCTTTACACACTCAGCTACAGTCATACATGTAAATGTTTTCAAATGTTGAGTTTGAAACCAACATCACAGCGCGCATGTCATACCATGTACATATATGTATTGATGTGTTGTCACCGCTGTGCATGCTTTGTATANTTTTTAAAAAAATATTTTCTTAATTTATTACAACCAAAGTTATGTACATATGTAATACTAATTTTCCTCCCAAACTAACAAAAATATAAAAATCCCTAAAAATACGAAAATTCATGTTTTTATGATAGGCTAGATTTCAATGTCCTCAACTGTATATTGAAAACACAAATGTCATTTGATTTATGGCATGTGAATTTGTGGTTGCCACATCCAACAAATTGTGCTTATTGATCAATAGTATTGAAGATTTGACGAAGATTTAACTTAAATCTACTGCCTTTCGAGATTTAATTTTATATGGTAAATCTCAAAAGATTTAACGCCAAATCTCGTCATAGGGCTAAATCTTCATTAAATCTCAAAATGGAGACATAGTATTAGGACAAACTAGGCTAAACTAGTTCTTCCCATCTCCGATACATCCGTCCCTTGCGGAAACAAGTTGGGCGCAACAATATTGTGGACTGCGTACTTAGGGTTGAACTGATGAGGGTTATTTTTTTGAAGTGTGGCCGAAGGCAAAAATACTGTCGCCCTGATCTAGTTTAGCCTAGGCAAAACTAGTTTCTCCTAAGATCGGGGTTGGCCGGTAACATATACATATACTTTCTTAATTACATATGAAAAAGCATCCGAGACGTTCAAAACGCCATCCGTTCAGTGAAAAATGCTTCATTTTAATACGGGCGTATTTGAATTGAATATTTCCATTATACGTAGTGTATGTATAATGGAAAAACCCGTTTTTTGTTACTTTTCACTTGATTTAAATACGAACATTTTTAAACGGTAATCAAATAAAAAATGTTCATTTTTACAACGCGTTTCTTTTCTCAGTTTGCATGAATAAATTAACGGTATTGTTAAATTTTTATGTGAGAACTGAAGTCGGTTTGGTTTTTTGCTGAAAAATTACTTCTGTTATTTCCATTAGTCGATAGAAATTAGTTTTCTTACAGAGTATTACTTTCCTTTAAACAAAGTTCCACGATACATTAATTATAATAGGTTTAGGTTAAGTTTAAAATTATCAATAAAAATGAGGCGTGAGAATTGCAAAGCTCTATAATTCTGGCTATAGGTTCAGTATATGCATAGGAGGTTATATACGTAGCCTGAAGAAGAAGAGAATGCGAATCGCTCGGCATTGTTTGCTTCCGGATAAGATGTGTAGGCAAACATGATGAATAAATAGGACCTCCTGTCCGATATGCTTGTAGTCTCAGCAATTTTCTTCTTGATTCGTAAAGCGACGAACCACCCTGAATAATTTCCCAAATAGAAACTCAAGGGTATTGTTTTAGGAAATTTTTTTCTTATCGTCTGGTAATATACCTATGCGCAAACACATGATAAAAAATCGAACCAAATCGACCCATAAGTACGAATGTTTCGAATATCCCGACTGCTAGGCCATCTAGCGGATACGTACAAATTTTCTTAAAACTACTTATTGCATGGGCAGTAATCTAAGAAATTTAAATCATATAAACATATGTACAAATATGCATTTCCAAAATATTTCGACCCGAATCGCGAATGATCGAATGAAACAAAATGGCAGCTATTTTCTCCACAATATAATTTAAACGGGCGAAGCACACTCACTCTCGGATGCGATTCGGGCCCGGTGCTACGTCAACTAAATATGTTTTCCTCAACACATGATTGGGTAATATGTAATTATGTTATTTGGTTATACTTACTCAATCATGCTTTGAGAGAAATATATTTAGCTGACTTTATTGCTGAGTGTAGGAAGCGGTTTATTGCTCAAAGCTTCAATACTTCAAATTGATAGAGAAGTGGAAAAGGAAGTAAAATTCAGAACCAACACAATACATTTCACTTTACTAAGTCAATCTTCATTCAAGCGGTTACTTACACAACTGCAGCATTTCACGAACTTTCAAGTAGGCTATGGCTATGCGCATTACAGATGCCTTGTCCAATTGGTTTACGTCCTCTTTGCGAAGCGGTAGAATCTGGGCTAACTCACTGAAAATTTCCGTTTCGCGTGAACGACGGCAACGAGCCGCGTCGCGTGATTTTTCCTTGCGCTTTTCATTATTCCTGCAAAAAAGTAAAATAAGTAGAACTGAGTGAAATACTCCGAAATACACGAAAATATTGATAACTTCAAATACTTAAATATTAAACTATTAGCTTGTTTATATCAACGCAAGAACCGCATTAACAAAAAACCAATTTGACTCAACACATATTGTTTTTGGAGCGTTTATACCTGTGTTTTTACAGCGCACTCGCTGAAACCGTATTCAAAAGTATGCAATATTTGTTGTTTTATTTCGATATTTCTTTAATAATTGATTTGTGCTTGTGTTGGCCGAAATGGAAGCGAACGATTATTAAAATTTCTTTTAACAATAATTCAAATTTAAAACGGGCTGTATAAAGAAAACCATCCTTTTTTCACTTCGCGTCAAATGAGTGATGTGTTTATACCTGTTTTCTAACCGATGTGAGAAATAAAAAAAACGTTTTGAAATCAAATTCGAGTTAATACACTTTTGAAATTCGGAGCGTATTGAAATTTTTACACCTCAATATTTTTTTTTAGGGTGAAATATATTTTTTTTAATTTTTTTCTTTTACATTTCTTTCTTTTTTCAATTGCTGCAGTAAATAAACTATTTGTCGGATAAAATCAGTTAAGGTATCAAAATGTGCGTAGTAACCTCGGCTTTCCATGAGTGTGAGATAGATTAAAATAGGAACAATTTGTATTAAAAAATCGCATTTTTTATTTATTATTATTTTTATTAACTTCATCATGTTGGATTTTTATTCTTTTTCAACCTGAATAGTTGTCAAACTTTATGGAGTACGCTGCAAAAATTTGAGAATGGAAACGCCAAAACTTTAGTATAAACTTTATGTACGCAGGTATGAAAAAACTCGCAAATTCTACGGTTTTGGTGATTCCATTCTCAAATTAAATGGTTGAAAAAAAAATAAAAATCAAGCATTATGAAGTTAATAAAAAAATATATATAAAAAAATGCGATTTTTTAATGCAAACTTTTTTTTTAATATATTTCACCCCAAAAAAATATTGAGGCGTAAATATTGTATGGAATGACCCATAAACAAAATTTCACGCTCCGAATTTCAAAAGTGTATTAACTCGAATTTGATTTCAAATCGTTTTGTTTTTATTTTTCTGAAAAAAGGATGGTTTGAATTATTATTAAAAGAAATTTTGTAATGACGTTTATGCATCCGTTTTGAATCACAGCGAAGTGGATCAAAGCGCTTTATGTGTCGGCATAAACAAGGTATTTATTTGTATAAGAAATTAAACGAGTATAAATGCATGTGTATATAAAGAAAAGAACAAAGGGCAAGTCCGAAAGGAAATCTCCAACAAAAAGCTCCCTCGCCAACGATGATCACCACATCAAAAGGCCTTACTGTCATTCACCTGCCTGACTAGTTTGATTAGTTTGTTAAGGCAGGAATTATATGTACTTATGCATGGATATATGTATATAAGTGTCTTCATGTAGTTGGCGTTACGACGCCACTATAATCACGTTCGCCAAATATCCAATTGTAGCCATTGACGTTGCAGTTGCACGTTTGCATGCCAATCACACGCTTTTCCATTACCCAATGTTGTTGTTGGCATTGGGCGCATAAAATAAATGATGATATGCAATATTGTCACAAATATGCAGCGAATATTCATGGCGAAAACTGTAGCAGAAAACATGAAATAATGCTAGAACACCAAACACCAGCCAGCATCAGCTGCTATGTCTATAACCCTTCTACAGATTCTGTTAAAAAACTGTGTTAAGGCAGAAATGTTAGGTGGATACCGCAAATTTCCACTGTTAAACCATATCTGTCTTGCCGAATTTCTTACCATCGCTGTATTAACATCAGCTGTTATTTCGTAGTTTGAGAGCTCAGCTTTCATTTTACGGCGCCATCTTCATTGGGTACATATCGATCTGATTGGCTTGATGTCATTTTGAAAGTGATATGTTATGACGGCAACTGTGATACGAGTTAAGTGCAAAAATACTTTGGACACCGAAGCCGGAATTATATCCAAAAGAAATGTTATACACTTCTGACGAAGAGAGGGGTTCCTCCTCTCTTCTTCGGCAACACAGAAAGGAGGATTCTATGTAGTAAGGGTTATAATCCTTAACCGAATTCTACGCAAAAATACTGTGGACGCAAGTGAAAATTGTGATTTTTGGCGATTTTCTAAGGGGTCCCTGGGACCCATAGGTCGCCTAGGTGGGGGTTGGAGGTGCCACGCCCAAACCCCCTTCGCTCACCGCCTCTTCAATGACCGCCAGACTCTTCCTGAATGTATGGCCATTTTTTTAAATTAAGCCTTATAAATAATTTAATATTTTTCTGATTTGTATATCCGAGCGCCCTGCACCTACCTTGCTACGGCCGTGCTTACACTTTTTCACTATCACATACTACGTTTATACGCACGTATTATTTGCAAATAAGAATTTACAAAATGGTAAACTTTGCCGTATAAACGCTGAGTTATTTTTTTATTTGCAAATAACTAAATCACGCAAATAAGTATTGATTAGTGGTACTATTTGCAAATAAGCGCAAGACGCCGCCATTCTTAGGTTTATTTTCTTTTTCGATGGTCATCTTAATGCCGTTTTATAATCAGGCAATATTAAAAAAAATTTTCACCATCGAATAAACAGTGAGTTAAGTATTTGCAAATTATTTTTATTTGCAAATAGCTTACGTATAAAGTCTTCCGATTTAGACTTAAGAGGTTCATTGGAAAGGTATTTTCTCACCCTTTTTATTTCTTTGCTAGTAAACTCATTCAAAGGATGAAAGAGAAAGGTAGGATGAACGAAAGTCATTCAAAGTTGAATTAAGATGTGTTGGTTTTTGAGAAAAAAAAAATGGGAACCGAATGACTTTTTTTCGCACAGATATAAAAACAGTGTGAAAATACCTTTCTACTGAGATCCCACAAGTCTAAATCAGGATAGCTTCGGCTCAGTTATTCAAGTTTTTCGTCAATCAATCTTTGAAAAAAAGTAAAAAACAGCATCAAAAATCTCATTCTTACGATTTCGTTGAAAAGATTTTTAAATATTTTTATGCAGATTTTTTAAGCTTAATCTGTTTTGTCATCTGAGGGGACTTTTTTCAAAAAGTTCTTTAAGGAACTATTTTTATTCATAAAAAACTCCATTTTTGGAGGTATTTTCAAATCGGTCCAGCTCACTTAAATCTTAATATTTTTCCGAAATATTTTGGTGAAGGTCTTAAAATATAATAAATTTTGTAATCCCGGCGGAAAAACCGCAACTTTTTTTGGTGATGCAGTCTAATGTACATATATGAATGAAGGAAATGAAATAAATGGATACATATCGCTCATTTACCTTAATAGTGTCATAATTCAAAAAATTCAAATATTGAAGTAAATGGTCATAAGTTGCCGCTACACCTCTTCTTCTATAATGTGCAAAAACTGCATAGCTGTATCGATTACCGGTATCACTAGAACGAAATACGTATACATTTTTCCTATGGCAGTATATATAAATACAAAACTTTACGTTAACGTTTTTCTCAAGTTTCGCTTTTTTGAGTTATGACATTATTGGGTAAATGAGCGACATGTTTCTATATCCTTAAGTTTATCAAAGTATTGAAAGCAGGCACGCATGTTTGCTGTTTCTTTAGCTGTTTCTCTCTTTCTCTTTCCTTCCACTTTTATTTTAACATGTCTGGCTGTTAGCTAAATAGTTTACTGATAAACAACTAAGATTCGAGGTAGTGTTGCCAAAACCCAGTGCTAATGTAGACAATACTTTACGCCAGCAATTGAAACTGGAGATAGCAACTATAGGAATAAAAATACGCAGAAAATTTAACAAGTTCGTTGCTCGAGTTACATATGTTACTACTTACATACGTATGTATGTATGTATGTACATATGCATATCAACTGGAAAAGAGCTTTAGATTAGGAATTAATTTGACCTTGCCGGGTGGGTGTTAGCGCAAAATTTTGTTGGGTCTTTTATTTCATGTTTATGTCCTTTGCCACACAGAAAAAATTTGTTAATAAAAATGGCACAATATTTTTAAAAAGCATTAGTAAAAGCAATACCCATTTCCGCGTCTATACGAAAATTTTGAAAACATGTGCTTTACGCTTTTTTTTTACGATTAGGGCTCGATATACCAGGGTTGTTGCGAATATTCGCATTCGCATTCGCAACCGCGGATCTTCCGCATTAATTTTAACATTCGCATTCGCAATAATCAATGCAGAGCTTTTGCGAATGCGAATATTGTGCAATAACACCGCTAGTATTCTCTTCTACTTTTTCTTAGAAATGTGTAATAATTATTTTTCATACAATGGCTTCTTATGATTAAGTTCCGTGTTTTCTTTTATTACTTAGCAGAAAAACACACCAAACAATTTTTACCGGTTTTACTATGCAAATACTCCTCTGTGCGCTCGAAAACAACATTACTTTTAATTGTGTGATAATTGTCGAAATTTGCACGCAACGAAATAAAAATAAAATGGAATGTGAAAAAGTTGACAGCCAAGTTCGAATTTAATATATATTGAGGAGTGGGACTTGGCATGCAATATATCGTTAGTATAGTATGGAGAGAGCGTACGTAACCCACCACATCGTCGCTGAAATGAAAAAATCCGTAACTAACTAAAAATTCAAAATTCACTTGATGATTATGATGCATTTCATCGAATCATAAGTTCCCACATCGTTTTATGCAATAACAATTTTTAGTTGTGCCGTTTCAGCGACAATGTGAATTACGCCCTTTCCATTCTATATTAACGATATGTTGAAAATTTGCGTTCATTTGCGTCAAAATATCAAAGTACATTGAATGCATGGAATGGAACAAAAAAACGGATTTAATGGATTATGGTAACCAACAGCGGTTAGTAATCAATTGTGACTGCCTGCAGCTAGGAAAAGTCGAGCTCAACGAATAAAAAATAATAATTACAGGTGAACCTTTTCGTGACGTCACCCGGGAACTAAGCAGATCTGAGACCTTCATCGTCCGTGATTGCAGTAATTGAAATTATTATAAAATAACAAAACATTAAACTAATTCGGCTGGCAGCCACGACTTTCAAAACAGAATTTTCTTTGAAATTTTCATACCTAGAAAATAACAGTTTATTTGCCATATCAGCCTATTTAGAACCTCGCTATAAGCACACATTTTTCTAACCAGGCACAGAAGAAGGGATTAAAAATGAATCAAAAAAGCTAAAATCGAAAAACGCTAATGACGTTACAGGTTGTCCAAATTTAAAAAAAAAAAAAACCAAAAGAATGAGAATGAAAAAATCTTTGAAGGCAGCAACTTTACTTTTGACTAAATACAATGTTCCAATTTTTAAACTCAAGTACTAAATAAAAGAAAAACCTAACTAAAAATTACTAAATTTTCCATTTTTTATTTCCCTAAATCACCTAATTTACTCACCTAAATTATTTCTTTGAAACACTTGACATCCGCATTCGCATCCGCATCCCCGGATGTTAGCTTTTAAACCTCCGCATCCGCATTCGCTTCCGCGAATGTCTAAAATTCCACATTCGCAAACCCCTAATACATACCAGAGAACAGCTTTGAGTATGATCGAGCCTTTTTGATCACACTCACTAAAAATCAAGCACAAGCGAACGCCACACTCGGCTACTATGTGTTCGATCGAGATGCATACCCGACAGCTGCTTTGGTTACGAACGAGTCTGTTCGATCACCCTCGCTATAAATTGAGCACAAGCGAACACCACACTCGGACACCCGCAGCTAACCCGAAAATTTGTGTAACAATGAAACGGACACCCGAACATTGCGATAAAATGCAGGACAACAAAGAAATTTACGCTGAAGGTAACTGGCGCCAATATGTTCCCACAAAGCATACGAAAATGTTGTTGCTTTGTGCTTGTGCATACGCAATGAAAAAATTAGAAGCGAAGTAGACAAAAATGTTTTTGCATCTATTTCGTATAGTTTCGCGTGGAAAGCTGTGTGTGTATATATTAGAACACAGCCTAAAACTATGTAGGTACATAAGTACTTTTACAAAAAATAAATGTGCACCGAGTGTATAGGGCTTGGGCATTGCCGATCTACACACATTTATACCTAAATGGATGTAGGCGTCGTGATGCCGCATTTTGTATGAGCAAAAATATAAGAAATGGTTAAATGTACACTTAAACAAACTACCGAAAAATTCAACCTTCTCTTTGCCCTCTACGCACAAAAACTAAGAACACCGCGATGAGAAGGCAACATTTTTTGTAGAAACAAAAACGTCATAAGCCAATCAAGAAAATTTTGTGCACACTCGGGTTGAAACTCGAACACCCGGGTATATTGAGCTGCAAAGCACCCGAACCCAATCAAGTATGTATGAAAAGCAATCGGGTGTTGTGGCCAACATGTTCGTCTTGAGCTCAGTCGATAACGAACAATACTTCTGCTCGTATACAGAGAACGATGCAAAACGGGTTTTGTTAGATGATCGAGTATACACGAAAATCATGCACCCGCTGCAGATGTCTGATACATACATATTGTCATTTAACCGCGTATCAAGAAAATGCAAAACCTCGTATGGGAGGTTACCAAAATTTTATATCCCTGTATTTGTATCCCTAATTATCTCTTCTTCTTATATCTAATTATCGATATTTTAGTATAAATGGATAAGGCCTTGATGCCAGGAGCTTCCGGTGAGCAAATATATTTTTTGGCACAAATGTCGGATACAGTGTTGCCAGAACTTTTTGGACCAACCGGCTAAATTGGCAAAAAAAAATCGGCTAAAAACGGCTAAACTGTTTCAACTAAATTTCACATGTTTTATTTAAATAAATCATAAGTAGAAAGACTAGTTCTTGGAGAGAAGTTGCAAATTCAAGATGGAAAAAATTTTGCCAGCAAGAATTTGCAATTAGGAAAAACATATGATTGTGGCACATGGTTGCATTTTTTGTCAACGATGATTTGAATAAAAAGGTTCGTCAAATTTAAAAATTTACAAACTTGAGCGATTTTAAAATGAAAAATTTAAATACTTGTTTACTTAATTGATTTTGTTGATTCCAGTGATTTGAAACTTACTCGGAACGCAGTCTCAACCAGAGTCGATATAGGAAACCCGACAGTTACTACGACAAAGAAATTAAAACGTATGTTGAAGAAATACGGACTAACAAGAAATATACATGCAGATCCTGGTTTTTGCTCCTCTGAAAGAATTTTAAAAATTCTATACAAATTTCTTGTGTTTGAAATGCAACCGTGGACACTAGCTGGCAGAAAAACTTGTAAATTTTCGCTCGTGCAGAAATTTGCAAGTTTCTCTACATGAGAGAGAATTAAGGAGCATTTTTTCTTACTATCTGATATTTTGAGTGATAATTTTCGCTGGATACTGTCTTCCCAGGGCGTTTTGCTTTAGATAGAAATTTGTGCTCTTTTACTTTCATTTTGACACATTTCAGTGTTGGTTCTTTTAATTCAAGTTGGCCTTCAGTTTTGGGAATTTAAATAAGTTTTCAGCAAAAAAAGTTTGTTTAAAAAAATCCAGTGAAACAATTTGTTATTTTTCAAGTTTGCGAATAAAACTTCAGTCTAGTAGCCATTTCTAACAGATTTTGGATCGCTTAGTCAATAATGGAAACATATGTATAAATTTGAATTTTAAGAAAACAAGGTTAATTTTTTTTACAAAACGGCTAACAAATCGGCTTCCGGCTAAACCGGAATTTCTCCGGCGGTTTGCTATCGCAACCGGCTAAATCTAGCCGGAAAACGGCTAAAATGGCAACACTGGTCGGATACGAGGTTTTTCTCTATAAAGCACAGGGAAAGTTGTGCTCAGGAACGTGTGGCACGCTGAGTTTCCAGTTCCACTGAAAGATAACAATAAACCCCCTGCTACACAGTGGTTCACAACTAGCATTTACTGAGCCTGATTTGTGAATTTTTATTTGGTTATATTAAATTTTTTAGTGAAAAATGCAGAAAAAGTGGCAATTTTGAAGAAAATGTATTCTCCTGTTCCAGGTAATAAATATTGCATAACAGAGACTAGTTGAAAACAATTGTATGGTTCTCCCAAAACGAAAACATTACAAAAAAATTTTATAAACAAATTTTCACCAAAATAAATTCTGTGTTTGTTTTTTAGTAAAAATCGGTTGAAAAATGACGAATCCGGTGAATTACGAACATTAAATTCCAATTTTGAACCACTGTGTGCCGGCTTCGGCGAGCAGTATGAATTATGGTAGACGCATTTTGGCAGCAAAAGATGGCGAAGTCCTGGAAAAGGATTTGGCTTCATTTTTCGTAATCGGTTAATTAACTGGTAAATATCTTATTTAAGTTTTGATATGGGTAAGGCACTTTCCCAACTCATTTTGAAAAAAATGTCCTTTATTTTACGTTGGTTAATATGGTCACCGTACGGATGGAGTATGCTCCCGAATAAGGCTAGTAAGACTTTTTGGATTAGCGAGACTAGCAGGATGGAACTATGTTGAAGTTGGTTCTGGTTCTCCGGTTAGGGAGACAACACAGTAAGGTGGAAGGATGGCAAGTCCTACTAGTTGAGAAAGTTGAGCATGTGCAGTCTGGTAAGTTCATTAAGTCAACAGAGTCGAGGTGGTCGAGCAAGTCTGACTGGCAAGCATTACTCCGGTCTGTTCAATGAGGTACGGCCCCTCGGCGAGTATCGAACGTCAGAGGTTTTAGGTAGGCGTCGGCCCTACCAAGGTGGTAAGTGTGTCCACCACACACTGCCAATTGAGTCAAACCAAGCTAACTGTGTCAATGAATTCTGAAAAGTGAAGACAATTGTGGGAATCTGTAGATAATTATAGAACAAAAATACACTTTGGACGGTTTTTCGAAATTGCACTTCGTTTTTTGTTTTTTTGGTGTTATAAGAATATTGCAATTTTTGAGAGAAAAATTCGTAACTCGCGCCCCATTTGATGAAATTTGATGAAATTTTTTTTGAGAGTTGCTGAAGCTTTTCCCTTTACAATAGAACGATTTGCAGAATAAAATTTGCAAAAAAATTAATTCTTTAATGACAATAATTTAAACAATTGCAATTATTTATATATACTAAGACCGCGATTGCAGTGAAATTTTGGCACAATATACTCTAAACTCTTGTTTTTAAGTTCCAAAAAGAAAAAATTGGTCTTTCCAATTTCGACAGTCGCTATCGATTTTTTTCTATACTGACCACTATATAAAAGCAAAATGACTCCAGTTACTATAGCTTTGTTTACTCACAGAAAGTCTTCTATATCAACGCATCGTATAAAGTGGCAGGGTTCGTAATTGTTCTGCTCATCGCCATAGCAATAGGAATATGACCACGGAGCATTGCCGCGGCAAGGCGCATGTCCCAACAACTGCTGAACGTTCATCCCAGGTGCGCCAGTTGGCGCTTGCTGGCAGCAGCTGGCAGGACGTGGTTGAGCAGGCGGCAAACGGTCGTTGTAATTGTACATGGGATATGTTGGATGAGCCATCGGCTGTTGATTGAGCCATTTCGCGTGCGTATTCCTCACTTGTTCTTGCGCATAGTGTTGATGTTGTTCTTGATATTGTTGTAGCTGTTGGAATGGAGGACTTAACAGATACTCGTTTTGAATGAGCTTTTGTGGCTCAGGTAGTCCTTGTTGTTGCAAATGCTCGATATGCTCGTTGTGTTTAAATTTTTGTAACCGCATCTGTTGGGTATGTTCATTTTGTGGCGGAGCTTGTTCCATTGGGTAAGTGATTCCCGGCACTGCCTCGAGAGCGGGGTAGTGTCGCGGAGGATAAACCGTTACGCCGTATGATTGATCCTCACATTCGTACTGATGTTGGGGCTGAAACGACGCATAGGACTGTTGCTGGGCCATATAATTACTAGACGATTTGACTATTTGATTTTGTTGCTGGATACCGGGTCGAATGGGGACTGACGCATTCAACGGCTCGGAATCCTGCAGCGAGCCAACGAAAGCGCACTCCCCCTCGCACTCACACCCTTTCCCCCCACGTACCCCGCACGTACTGCGAAATCCGAAGTCGGAAAAACTTTCCTGTTTCGTAGGGGTCGATTGGGTATAGAATTGATTCGAGTGATTTGCGTTCTCCAGATTATAATGCATTAGCTTTTCTGATCTTTCTTCTTGTAACCCATGTAACGGTTCTTGCTCGCAGTATTGATGTTCGCATTCGTATTGTTGACATTCCGGGCATAGATTATTCAAAAATTTATCCAAATTATCATCATAAAGAGTGTAAGCCTCCTGAATAAAATCCAAAGGAAGCCACGAAGTCGGACTACCAAACATTTTGGAATGCTCTTTTGATACAGAACTATTTTCTTATGTGTTTTTAGAACTTTTCACACTTTTCAGATTTTTAGGGGTTATACAAACATCAAAAATTATTAAATTTATTCGTTAATATGGATTTCCGGTTTTTCGGTTTGTTTTTTTGTTATATTTAATTTTTTATTTGTATTATGTTGTCTCTATCAACATCGAAAACGACGGCACTTTTTTCTTTACAAAAACTGCTGTTAAAAGATTTGCTGCTAAAACTTTTCTAGAATTTCACAATTAATCGATTTAAACACCCGAAGAGAAAAAGTCTTGACGACCAAGCGAACGACAATGCCCAACCACGTCTATTACTAACAACGATACTAATATGTATGTGTATTTGAAATGAACGAAAGCCCCCAAAATTAATAATGGATTTATGCCGTCGTTTGTAAAGCGAGAGACTAGACGAAATGTGAAAATAAATCCTAACATGGCTCCAGCTACTGGAAGGAGGTACTTATTTATGTATGTAAAAAATTGCGTTGTATGTAGTTTTCTTTAATCGAAAGCTACGACATTTAACTCTCAAATACACACAGTACATACATATGTATGTATGAGTAATTAGTATATATCTGTATAGTATTCATATGTATTTCCAGCAACAGCAAGATCCATTTCAAAGTTCCACGCTCTCTAGAATGTCTGGTCATTTGCCATACTCTTGTGTTACTCCACGGTGCAAATCAAAAACAATAATTAAATAAATACAATGTGTATTCCTGAGCGCAGCCCTTATCAGTCCAGAGCACGACAGTGATAAGATATCGCAGAGCTACACAATGCAAGAGCAAATCAGAGACATCTCGAGGGAGAGCGCTAAAAAGTGTATTAAAAGTAGACAATTGCTGGATCTAATCAGCTGTCAGTGGTAATTTTAGTGTGCATTACACAGTGCTACAAAAAAATAATGAGCACGGAAAACACGCGAAACAAAACTTAGTGTAGGTTGTACTATCGATGGTTTTGGTTTTTTTTTCACTATCGAAAATTTTCCAAATTTAAGACACAATAATGATGAATGCGCATTTTATAAAGCGGCAATAAAATAATAGTACCAGTATGTATGTACTTTTTAAAGGTTTCAAGATTTGGATAGCTTTACAAAAATATTTTGGAAAGAAACAAAAAATAGGTTTTCGATATCTATAAGTAAATTCCTCTCTACTCTAAAATTTAGATGGAAACCCTATTCCGAAACACGCTGGAATGAATGGTACATATCTTGAGCATATGTGTACTATGTATACATAAAAAAATGTCGATTGAAATTAACAAAATAAAAATTTGTATTACATAGAACCCTGGCAGTCCTGATGGAAAATATTTTCTGAACAAAGTTCTCAACAATACCTTGCATTTGATACCCATATTGCGATGTGTTAGATAAATTGTGTATAATCGGAAATAAGTGGCAACCTTACACTATTATCCTAAGAGATAACATTTCAAAAATAGAGAAAACATTATTTAAGAACCTTCTTTTGGTACCCATGAATAGTAATATTTTACCTTTTTTTTGTAAACAAAAAATTAAATAAATATGCGATTCAAAATAGGTGGCAACCTTAAAAAAATCCTTTTGAATTAGGGATCTTTAAAATACCTTCCATTTGATACCCATATTATGAAGATTTAATTAAATTTTAACTAATTTCGAGATAATGTCTATTCAGATAACCTTAGAATCCAAAACATTATCTGTGTACAAAATTTCATCAAAATCGTTAGAGCCGTTTCCGATAACCTTATGGATATATATATGCATATATAAAAGAATTGCTCGTTTAATGTAATAAGATATGGCAACTATGTTGGCCTAACGTCATCATTGGAATCGGAACGAAGGTACAGTAATACAGCAGCTTTAATAGTAAACGAAAAAAGATCGCAACTAAAACCTATAAATGTTAACATGCTGTGTTTCTTAAATAAAAACAATTGGGTTTAGAAAGCAGAATACGTAAATTGGTTTAGCTTTTTAAATTATACTTTCTTTATTAAGGTAGGTAATTATGGTCTTTAAAAAACTATATTTCGATGGCTGAGTGGAAGATCGACCTATCTCGGCAGCCAGTTCGAAAACGCTCTATCTCAAAAAACTTTTCAAGAACGCCCTATTTCAGAATTCGTTTCAAAAACGCCCTATCTCAGCTGCCGATTCAAAAACGCCCTATATCAGCATATTTTCAATACATTTTGAAGTGGGATAGGGCGTTTTTGAGCCGAATTTTGAGATAGGGTGTTTTTCAATTAAATTCTGAAATAGGGCGCTCTTAAAAGTTTTTTGAGATAGAGCGTTTTCGAACTGGCTGCCGAGATAGGTCGATCTTCCACTCAGCCATCGATTTACAGGTCTCTTCTGCGCTGGTAATAAAAAGTTTGTAACCGGTAAATAAAGTTCCTGTCAACTTTTCGCATTCTGTGTACTCTTGTAACCGGTAAATTTTGTTACCATCGCATAAGCTGGTAACGAAGTATTGCCCCGTGAAATATGCAATGCCAGAATTTGCACAATTCTTCATAGCTGAATTGCTGAATATTTTAACTGCATTACCAACGTACCTAGAATCGCGGTTACAAGAACTAGTAACATTTTTTGGTAATAAAATTTTCCGGTTACAAAATCATCGATAACGTGCGGAATAGACCTGTTAATGCAATGGGGCGTATTCATAGTCAAAATTAAGTTGATACTTAAAGTTAGTTGTGGCTTTTTAGCATAATTTTGGATGAGTCAATAAAGTTGCAACCAACTTTAGATACCTTAACTTACTTAATTTTGACTATGAATACGTCCCAGTATGATTTTTTTTTTTTGTTTCAAAATAGGCGACTATCGATAGTTGAAAAAAAAGTATCGTATTGTATAATATATATAGGTTGTAGCTAGAGTCCACTAAAGTTTGGTTCACTTGAAATTTTAACACGTTCCAGAAATTCCTGAACAGCAATCGTTAAAATCTATTTAAAAGTATCAGTGCAGATCGTTGTACAAACTAAATTTTATAGTACTGACATTTATTTGACGATTTTATTAGCGTAGGAAGTGGCTGCTGAAAAAATTAATTTTAAGGGTTTCGTTGAAAACTCGACTTCGGCAAAAAAAGGACCGAAGATTTTTCCGAAGCGAACCTGTTTGCTATCTAGATTTTTTTTTTGACATTTTCATATAATTTAAAGGTATACATTTATTCTGAGCAATCTGTTTTAAAAAATTGTGGTATTGTAACTTTTTCTTAAAATCAGCTGACTGGCAGCTGAGTTTGTCGGAATTTATATAAAACGATTAGTCCAGCGCCTTCGACTTGACCTGCGGGCTGTGTCGGAGCCACAGCCGCTAAACTTAAACGTAGAATACGTGATATTATTAAGATCATGACATGAAATATTCGTTTTGATTGTATTGAATTGAATATAATAAATTAATATGAATTGGAAAATATTAATAATTAGCAGTAGTGAAGCAAATCCACATTAACTTCAATTATACATATCGAGCCCTAACCGCAAAAATAACGTAAGCGACATTTTTTTCAGAATTTTCTTTTTGATGCAGAAATGCGTCTAGATGCTCTAGGAATATTTCTGCATCAAAAAGAAAATTTTGAAAAAAATGTCGCTTACGTTATTTTGGCGGTTAGGGCTCGATATGTACCAGGGTTGTTGCGAATATTCGCATTCGCTACCGCGGAGCTTCCGCATTAATTTTAACATGCGCATTCGCTTTCGCATTCGCAATAATCAATGCGGATCTTTTGCGAATGTGAATATTGAAGGGACCGAAAATTATTATTAGTTATTTTTTTTACGAGTTAAACTTGGCCAAATATTTTTTTAATTCCGAAATAAAAGTCCTTTCCGGATAAAAAAACAAACCGGTTATCCAAATTAAACAAGTTTGGTATCAAATGAAAGAGGACTTAAATAGTAGGGCTCGTAAAATTATCCGACTATTCGACTAATCGGTTAACCGATTATTCGATTCGTAACCGTTCGCATGCTTATTAGTGGTATTCGAATAGTCGCCCGCCTTCGATTATTCGAATATTTGCTTTGCTTCGACTACTCAAGCATTGTAGCAAATCGAATTTCAGTAACCGAACTTTCATTGAAATTTCTTTGACAAATGAAAAAAAAAAATTATATATACATGCACACATATGTATGTATGTATATTCAGATAGAAAAATGAGCAGACACAAAAGGAGCTGGGTTTGGGATTTTTTCAAAAAATCAGAGGACGAAAAGGAAGTAACATGTTCCATATGTGGTGCAGTTCTATTTATTTATTACAACGCTTTTATCAACTTGCAATGTTGTGGCTCCAGAAACTTTCAATGTTGTGGATCCAGAAACTTTCAATGTTGTGTGTCCGACACCATAAAACCTTTGCTTTGCAAAGTTCCTATAAAAAAGTCTAGTGCATAGGGCGACATCTGTAGTGAATAGGGCGAGGTAGATGACATCTAGATGTCGCCCTATGTACTACGTTCGCTACAGCGGAAATAGACGACACGCCATTTCTTTAAATAAAATTAATTGGTGCTCGTTTGTATGTACATACATATGTAAATGCATGTGTGTGCACCATTCTATTAATATCGTTGAATTATTTTAATAT